ATTAGATATTATAATATTTTGATTCGATAGTATGATTATGTGATTAACTACAATTTCAGAATAAAACACAACGTAATTTGTATTAAAATTTATGTGTAGTTTTTTTCCCCAGTGAGAATTCAGGAAGTGTCTGATTATCTAATGTTGCAATAAGTCACAATTTAATTGGAGAGCCGAATCTGAGATAACACAATATACACAACTGTTGTAATATCAAAATCACAACTTGTTAGTATAAGCTCTTCTATAGGAATACTATTACAATACTATATTGTACATATGTATCCCATGTTGCTATTGTTGACCCTATTGTTCGCCTTTACCCGGTAATTGATGATGAAAACTTGCAATAATGAATATCATAATGATGATGATAATAATACAAAATTGAAAGAAAACTCTGCAGGCTTCTTTGTTACACATGTATTTCTGTATAACGTAATAAATACTTCTTTCGGAACAGGGATTTCATCGTCTTAGCAACATTAGTTTTAATTAGCAAAATATTCATTATGAATGTACCCAATCCATTGTATAGGCATAATCTACAATATATTTAGCATTGGAATGAGAAAAACGCAATTTGAAGTTTGAAGCACAATAGTTTGTCTTTATCCTGACAAAACAACGATCAAAATAAATAGGCATATTTTTAAAAAAACGAAAAAAAAAAACCCCAAAAAACAAAAAACGAAAAAAAACCCCACCTATTTCAGATCCTATCCTATCAGCACTTGGTCCCCTTTCCGGTGAACTTCTGTTGTCAGGGTAATTAAAACCGGTACTGCATTATCAGTGCTGATATTAAACAAAATTAGTGCAATCTTATACATTAGCAAAACAACAAACGAACAACAATATCGATTGACTATGTGGAAATGATTTGCACACAGGCGTACTATAAACAGTTCCTTTAAAGCGAGGCTTCAGAGGAAAACGAGTTTTTAGAAGTTAAAACAAAGAAAAACAGATTTGTTGCCAAATGCGACCCCGAGGCTCAACGTGATGCGGAGGCCAGTGTGAGCGCCCTCTCTATCGACACATTATACGTTGTCTTGGGATGGGACACACCTCGCCCCAGTCGCCTCTTGCTAGCTCGAGCACGCACACTTTATAATAAATAGGGTACCGGTATCCCTCTAACGTTATGTATATATTAAACTGCAATTACTCTTATCGATTTATTATACCAAAGTGGTGTATTCAAATAGAATCTTTCTATTTTTCAGAATTAATTTCTGATTTAAACAATCCTTTATAACAATTTTTTTTCAAATGACTAAAATTCGTTTATATAAGTTCTGTGTTTTCACAGTTTTGTACTGTATTAGATTTTATCAATACTATTTGATGAGTAATTATGATAAATAATCTTACAAACAAAATATTAAATAAATATGTAGTACGGTAATTTTAATTGAACATGATCAACAATTTCTAAATTCCAAAAAGCCGATGCGATTTAATAGAGAACACAGAACATCACGATGCACGCGCAACGGATCGCTTTTAGTGACGATCTGCTTAAACTGCCACCGAAATAAGTAGATGGGGTCACGTCGTCAAACGCTCAAAGAGAGCAGATATAATAATAATTTATTAGGAAACTAGACTTTTGAAACAGTGGCCCACTTTACGTGATAATGGTGCGTCCAAAATTGAGTTAACGTAAAATTTACGACAAACAAAACTACAAACAATATAAAGATAATAAGGTCTTATAACAAGTAGAATACACGTAACTCAAGCAATTAACAAGGCAGGCCACCTCCATCCAACACCCGCCCTTATCAAATTATCATTAGGAAATGATGCCTCAATAGAATCAAAATGACGATCGAAATGACCATGCCATTCCCTTGAGTGACCCTTATTTCATTAAGATTAATACATACAAACATAAATTACCGAAACTCAAGCTTAACATTTCTAATACAATAAATCACAAAGAAAAATTAACTCAACTGAATAACAAATTATTTAAAAATAATTTTAAAAAATGCTTTAAGATGTTCAGAACACCAAACATCTCAGAAAGCATACAATGTCCTCATCAATTACAGTAGGCCTATGTTCATCTTCCTCACGAGAGCAAATATACTCTACTCGTCCCAGTGACACCCCCACCCAAACCCACCCAGTTAAATATGAAAATACTTCAAATATTCCCTCTCAATTGATATATGAAGCTGTGTGTGCCCGGCTTTATATCGCTAGGACATGCTGTTGCCAATGAACAGTAAACAGCACATGGGACTATACGACAGAATTTGCCCAGGCCACAGCACTCTTATCGTATAGGAGTAGGCCTAAAGGGGGTACATGTACAATGAACACAATTTAAATACTTAGATACAATACACGAGAGTAGATTTGCGTAATTGTATGAAGAAAGTATTCAGACTCTGCACAGCCGACCATCAAACTAGAGTTACTGTAAACCCTTTCACTACAAACGGAATCTTTAAAAAGACGCCAAAGCATTACAATACATTTATTTTAGAAAAAAATGTCGCAAAAAAATTGAGTAACAGAACGTGGGAAACAATTAATGAAATATCGAAATAACAAACGTCATTGCAGGTGTATTAACACTAATCCAAGTTAGATCTTGTCGGCTTAAAATTCGAAAATAAACATTATTTTTAACCTTAATTGAAACCTTTAATGATTTAGGTTTTCTTTGACATATGCTTTTAAAAATTTGGTTGTTAATTTTTTTAAACAATGTCTATTTGTTAATTTTATTTGAACACAAGTTTTCTAATGATATGTCTGCAGTACTTGTACCGATACCTAATTGTATGTTCTCTTTTAAAGCATTGACATTCAAACTTTGTCTTCACGTGTTATTTGAAAAATACTTGTGATTTTCCCAGATATGACGTGATATCAACGGTCCATATAAGGACAGATCATAGATATTTGTGACGTATTATTCGATAGTGTCGAGAAAAACACGCGATAGCAAGCAATGTATTTTTTTACACTATTGAGTTTCCTATCACATTGTTCTATTGTCATTCATCATGATTAATTGTTTACATTATGTACAAACAGCAATGATATGAATTTTCTGATCAAAATAATGTTTAGCCCCATTGTGTCAATCCTATCAGCATATACGTTATTATCATTCCACTCCTCGATTTTTTTATCGACAACATATTTTTCTTCAAGCCTAAAATTGTAAATAATATGAGGTAATCTTCACTTTTCAACAGTATAATAAGTTTCCTTCTTTAATATAAGCAAAGTACTCTCAGAATTAATATTGAATATGCAAACGAAAAAATAGATTCAAACACATAATGTTTTATGATATGATAATAATAATAATAATAAGCAAAATAACAATCACGAATTTTAATGTTATCAAATTTTAATAAGGCGGAACTAAACATGATTGTGTATAACTGCGAGCAAGCTGCTATGCATATTTTGCCGTTGGTGTCTGAGATATTGATATTTACAATTAATAATTTCACTTATGGGATGCAATTCGCAATATTCAATATTCGTGGAGCTATTTTAGCCCCATAATATAACATAAATAGATTTGTAAGAAACTCAGATTTTAGATTCAAAATATAAATTTATATGCTATTACCGTCCGTTCAGATTCCATCTTTCGTCCGGTTAATTTTTCTCACGTAGTGTCGCTTATCAGCTTATAATTATCAAAACAGGATAATTTGAAACAAACTCTCTGAGATTCCCAGAATACATCAGTAATACAACAAGTGAATAACAACAATTTAACGACTGCTTTCTCGACAACGAATTAGTCTACGCATGCGTGATGGAATTCCGTTTCTTTAAAAGCTTCGCTGTCGCACCGTGAACCATCAGTAGCGGTAAGACTCTCGTTGCTTAAGGTTGATTATAGTAAAGACAAGAACGTAATTAAAACTAGAACAAGACTGAATCTTGTACGTGATTGCGTTGTTTTTTGGAATTCGCGTGAAAACAATATTGAATAGATTAAGAGGAAAACCGCTTTGGTAAGTTAATTTGTTTATTTATACTTAAAGTAAACGTTAAGTAAACACATGCCTCTTTATAAAATATAAAGTAAATATTACCTATAATTATATATGAAGAGTCCGATCGAACAGATAGCTAAGCAATAAATCACTGTGTGGTATATAAAAATAAAGGGGATTTTGCATACAAAAGTTAATATACAGTGTATATAC